CGCGCGGGCCGCGGGCAGGTGGGTTCCGGAGGCGGCGCTGGCCTTCAGGGCCCCTGGGAGTGAGCGACGGGGCAGGGAAGGACTCCCCATCCAGAGACGTCGCCCCCTGGCCGCAACACGGAGCTGACTGTGGAGCCCACGAAATCTGGGGGAGAGAATCAGAGAGTCAGACGCTGTCCATCCCGGGCCCTCGGCCCACTGGGCAACACAGGACGCGTGGGACACGGTCCGCAGGCGCCCAAGTCCCGACCTGGGGGCTGGGGCTCAGCAGACCCTTGGCTTCTCTGAGCCCGTTTCCTCCTGTGCAAAATGGGGGCGCCGGCACCCTTATTAACAGGAGGGCCTGAAGGGTCAGGCCACGGGGTCAGCCTGGGCCTGGCGGGGTCCAGCACATGGCCAGCCCGCCTTACTCGGGCTGGGGGATCTCGCGGGGAGCTGAAGCGGGAGGCTTCCTCTTCTGGGGGCTTTGGGGGGGCACACGGGGCTCCCACCTCGGCCTGACCAACCCGGGGCTCCATCACTGAGCCGAGTGACGGGAAAACCTCCGCCATGGCCCCCGGAATGGCCGCCGAGAGGAACGTAAGGAAGGGTGGGCTGGCCGCCGAGTGGAGCTGCGGCCAGGTCCCTTCCTGGAGGCCCGCGGGGTCTGTCCCTGTGGGACGGGGGAGGCCAGGGGGAGGCCAGGCCCAGAAGGGTGCCACGTCTGGAGACCACCTGGCGCGTGAGAGCCGGGAGCCCGCAGGTGCCCTCTGGAAACGGGGGGCGCGTGGGGGAGCCGGGGCGCGGGCAGCAGGCTCCCCAGGGGCCCTGCAGGACCTGGACAGGAGACCCTGGGGGGCCCTAAGACAGCTCTGGGGGTGCTCGGGCGGACCCTGCCTGGGCCCCGGCGCTCCCCGCCTGTCCCAGCCGGCCACCCGCTCACCTTGTGACTTTTCTCATTTCTTGCCTTTAAAAAAGCCGTCACCGGGAAAAGCACGTCTGTGGGAACTACACGCCGCTTCGTGTTCTCGGTCTGAGCTCAGGGAAAGGATCCCCGCCCGTCACTCTCCAAGGAGCACGGGCTGCTGCCGCTGCTGAAGGGCCTGCCCCGCCCACGCTGCCACCGCCCGGCCCGGGGACACTCTCGCCCCCGCTAGCCCAGGCCCTGGCAGTCAGGACCCTTACGGGCAATTCTGGCACATTCTCAGGGGTCCCGGGACCGGACCACCAACGCGGGGGCCGGACAGGTGGTCTCCTGGGTGCCCGGTGTCTGGGCCGCACCGGCCGGCGCGCCACTCTGGTGACTCCCAGCCCCTCGGCCACTCGCCTTTGTTCTGCTTGAGCTCCTCCTGCAGCAGGTCTGTTTGCCGGTTGCCCAGCACGAAGGCCAGGAAGGAGAGGATGAGCGCGTTGAGGATGCCGATGATGGCCAGGATGTAGGCCCAGCGCACCGAACAGTCCCCCAGCGAGTACTTCCCGGTCTTGGTCCCGCACATGTCCCGGATGGTCTCGGCGTCCCAGCCGTCGGGGAAGATCATGCAGCCCAGGACGAGGCAGAGAGCTTAGGTGCAGACCGGCCGCGGGGCGGGGCGGGCGGGGAGGACAGCGGGTGACTTTCCGGCCCCACCGCCGCCCACCCGGCGGCCCACGCCCTGGCGGCAGCGGCTGCGGGGTCCCCACCTCACTCTGGGGTGGCCTCCCGCCACTGGGAGCAGAGCCCTCCCCCACAACACACGTCGTCAGCCCCTCCTCGAGGAGACAGTCAGGAGCCCCGCGGCCACCCTGGGCGCCCGGCCCTGCTCGCCTGGCCCAGCCCAGCCCCTCCGTCCCCGAGCTCGGCGACTGTTTCCCTTTCGTGCACCTCCTGTCCGCTGGGCATCGCTTTCCCTTTCTGCCCCCGCTGCCGGAAACAGGCCCCCATCACCGGGCTGAGCGACGGGCTGGGCACGAGAGGGTCGGCGGCTGGTCCCGGCCGGCGCGGGGACCCGCGGCCTCCCCCGCACCCCAGCCTCGCTCAGCGACGCCGGGCCTGGAGGGCGGCTCGCGAGCAAGCCGTGGGGGGCCGGGAGCGGGCCCCGGCTCGGCTGTGCTCCAGATGTGACTGAGCGCCAGCGCCGCCGCACCTTTGAGCCTCAGTCTCCCGGTCTGTGAAATGGCCACAACGAAGGCATCACGCAGCTGTAAAGATTCCGGGGCAGCCGGGGAGGGGGCACTCGGCATTAATCGGGTGCGCGTCAGCCACGACTAGGACCACGGGGCCATGTTTGTGCCCCTAATAGCCGCGCAGGCTGGGAGCGCTCGGGAGGGCTCGGTCTAGGATGCAGGAGGAGCAGGGCAGGGGCCTCTCGGGCCCTCTCTGGCCAGGCCGTCTGTGTCGGGACCCATGTGGTGACCGCATCTGTGGTCTCAGTGGCTCCTCCCAGCATGTGGCAGGGGCTGGGGCCAGCCAGTCGGCACACTGCGCCCCTCGCTCCCCACCCCCTTGGAGGGAGCATGAGCCCATCAGCCAGCCCGGCTCCCCGCTGACGGGCCAGCAGTGACCCCATGACTGGGAACTGGACGTTTCCATGGCAAGCCCACCGGTGCTTACCCTGGGTTTTGGGTGACAGTGACCACTGAGTGGGTGGCGGTGGTCAGCTCTGCCTGCCGTCCAGAGGCCCAGTTAGCTCCCAGGAGGAGGTGGGGCCCTTGGCTTTGCCGGTGCCCTGGTCGACCCCGGACCCTGGACTCAGCACCTCCCACCGGTGTGCTTATTCCACCCAGAATCCCCCAAGGGGCGTGGCAGCGCACGCAGACACACACGCACACCCGTGCACACACGCACACATGCACACACGCACACCCATGCACGCACGCACACACATGCACACCGCGCACCCACGCACACCCGTGCACACCCATGCACACACGCACACCCATGCACGCATGCACACACATGCACACCGTGCACACACGCACACCCGTGCACGCACACACACCATGCACACACGCACACTGTGCACACACACACCTGTGCACGCACACGCACACGTGCACCCATGCACGCACACGCACACACCGTGCACACCCATGCACACACGCACACCCGTGCACACACGCACACCCATGCACACACGCACACCCGCACACACACGCACACCCGTGCACACACTCACACCCGTGCACACACGTGCACGTGCACACCTGTGCACGCACACGCACACCTGCACACACACGTACACACGCACACCCGCGCACACACACCCGTGCACGCACGTACACACGCACACCCGTGTATGCACCGACTCCCACGCCCGCAAGCGCACACGTGCACACCCTAGCCCAGCCGCCCAGGACCCCCATTCTCGGCTCGGTTGCCCGCAGCCGAGCACCCCCAGTCCGGAGACGCCGGCAGAAACCCGATGGGGAGAGGCCGGGCGGGAGACCCAGGCTGGGGGAGGGTCTGGGGGGCCAGCCTGGGACCAGACATTGCGGCATCTGCAGAGCCCAGGCTGAGCCCGAGCCCGCGGCGCAGGGAGGGAGGGGCCCCTCCGTGGAGGCTGTGCACCCCGCTCGCCCCCAGCACCATCAGAGAAAGGAGAGCGGTCCAGCGGCACTGGGGAGAGGAGCCCGGCCCGTCGCCCTGCCCCGCCCTCCCAGGCCAGCTTGCCCAGGGGTGAGGGACCAGCCTTTGGGGGCGGAAATCCCAGCCTGCCACTCCACCGGCTGGAGCACCGGTCTCCATGGAAACCACAACAGCATCCTCCCGGCTCCCCCCCTCCCCTCCCTCGCAGCCCTGCCCAGCGCCCAGAGGGCTCTTCCCAGCTGGCCAGCACCTTCTCCACAGCTCTCTTCTAGTCTCGTCCGCTGCTCTCTCTTCTCACCCTTCCCTGTCCCCCCGCCCCCCCTCTCTGGTACCAGCTGCCCAGGTCAGCCTGGACCCTCCCTCCCTGTTCTGCTCGGCTCTCGCAGCGTTTATCAGTCATTCAGCTCCCGTCCTCTTCCTGCTGGAAACCTCCTGGCCTCCCGGGAACGGTGGCTCGGGGTCCACAGTGGCCCCAGTGCTGAGGACAGGGCCTGTTGCAGGAGCGCTGGACGGTTGGGGAGGGCTGGGGCCGGCCCGCGCCCCAAGGCCAGTTGCGGCAGAGTGCGCTGGCCTGCAGTGTCGCGTGTCCTGTGGACTCCGGAGCACGGGCGTGCAGGGGATGCCCCACACCTCGCTGAGCTCCGCCGTGTTGCCAGAAGCCGGCGCCCCTGTGTCTGAAGGCCGCGGGGAGACTGGGCAGCCACCACGATCGTGGAACTGCACCCCGTGATTTGAGGGGCACGACAGTGACACGTTCTCTCTGCTCAGAGAACACGGCATGTCCACCAGGGCTGTCAGCACTGTGCCCTCGGCTTGGAGGCTCGTCCTGGGGCGCACCCAGGTGCACACAGGCTGCCCCCCAACTTTGGAGCAAAGGAGGCAACCGTCTCTTGGTCCCCTTTCTGTCCCTCAACACATGCCAGCTGTCCCCGTCCTCCCCTCTCCCCAGCGAAAATGTCACTCACGCGACCGAGCCTCAGCCCCCAACATGTGAGTCCCGATCTGGAGGTGCCCCGGGCCGGTTCGGGGGACTCGGGAACCAAAAACTTGTATCTCGTAGAGAGGCACGATGGCGAGATGGGGAACACCAATGTGTGCTAGTTGTTTGGAAGCAGCGGTCACTCAGGCCCTCAGCCCAGACCGTCTGCTGGCCGCGGCCTCTGCCTAGCGTCCGCGGGGCTGTCTCCCCGGTCAGGCTGAGCCCCAGCGTGCCCCTGTGCGCCCCCTGGCCGCGCCAGGCGCTCCGGCCCCTCGTGGCTGGGCTGGGCCCTTGCTCGGGGCTGTCGCCTCCGGTCCGAGTTGCTAGTTTGAGGGCGGCTCTGGCCCCTGCTGCCGGGGCTCCGCCCCCTCTCCTCCGGCCAGGCCACCGCCCTCAGCCTGGCGCAGTGATGCTTCACAGTCCCCGGGGGCTCCGCTCTCCTCAGTTCCAGACCCAAACTCGGTTGCTGACTGGCCTTTCTCTGGTGCACCCCACAAACCCTCAAATCTCACACCTTCAAAGTGACTTGCTCTTCTTCCCCCGGCCTTTGGGACGGCCCCTCCGTCCACACCCACCCTGGCCTCCCGCCACACCACTCACCGCCACCTCTCTCCCGGGCCCCCACCTCCCTGTCCGCAGCAGGGGCCCAGGCCCACGCCCCTGCCCCTGCTGCCCGGAAGTGGTTCTCCGTCACCTGGCCAAAAGCCAGCCCCACCGTCCACCCTTAGCCCGTCCAGCCTTAGCTCCCGCTCCTCGGCCGCCCCTCCCCGGCTCCGACAGGCGGGTCGCAGGCAGCCAGCCGTCGGCTCAGCGGAGAGCCATTGGCGGGCGCCAGGATGGGCCCCGTGATCCCGGCGGGCCCCCAAGCAACCCCCCAGTTCCCACTGCTGTGTCCATTTTATAGGTAAGGAAACCGACTCAGCACCATGGAAGCCTGCTAAGGACGCTGAGTGTCGTGGCTCAGCCTGCCTGAGCCCTGCGTGTGCCGTGACCCGAAGGAGTGGGCGTGCGGGACTCAGATCAGATCAGCTTGCTGGGATCGTCCTGCAGGAGACTCTTACAAGCACCTCTTGGGTGCCAGGCACAGACTCTCGTTATGCACCAAACTGGCAAGGAATGAAAGGTTGATCATGATGAATAACATGAAAGGGAATGAGAAGAAAAAGACCTCAAAAGAAAGACTTTTCAGCATAAGAAGAGTTCAGGCCTCATCCGCTTTCACCTACAGCCCAGCCTCTCCCCAGGCAACTGTATGACACCGCCCCTCGACTCAAAACGCAGCAAGGCCTCACCAGGGAGAGCCCAGGAGCTGTGAGGGAGGAAACCGACAGTTTGTTTATATTGGGAAAAAACAAAGTTCTAAGGGGGGGAAATACCTGCGTGTAAGACACACTGAGAAGACTCATAACTCCTAAGAGCAGTGACTGACTCCCTTAAAATACAGTGTTGAAAAGCACAGCTGAAAAATGCCACTAACTACACAGAAAAATGTATGGACATTGACAGAAAAAGATAGATGAGGAGTTTGTAGTAGTTAAATTACTACTATATGGCAAAAATATTTGATAGCACACTCAGTTGGCAAGGGTGTGGGGACCGAGTGTTTTCACGCGTTGCTGTTACAAGTGCCACTTCATATAATTTCTACAGACTGTGGCTACATCTGTCAAACTTGTAAATACATATACCGCTTACCCCAGCAAGTCCAGCCTAAGTCTTTATTTCATCCTCCTATATGCACCAAATTATTTAAGTACAGCTTCATTTGTTGAGATATTACTACAGCTAAATATCACAAATCACTTAAATATTGATTAAATGATACCTCTCTACAAAAATTTATTATGGCGCTCATAAGAAAAAAGTAGCTTTATATATATGAATATGGAACATTCTACAAGATGTATTATTGAAAGGAAAAAGCGAAGCAAATCAAGAGGTGGTCTTTAAATATTCTTTTGATATATTTTACTTTAAGAGGAGTCCCTGGAGTGTGGGCTGGGTTAGCTATTGACTC